TCGTCGCGTACACTGTGTGCTTAAACAGTCGCAGTCGTACCTACGTAAGTAGATACCGCTCGGCAAGTATATCTTCGACGTGGGCTATTGTACGTATGTAGGTATCCGTTGTTTGTATTAATTAATCGAGAGTGCAATGCGGCGATCCGAGAGACGGACGTGTATCGTCGCGTGTGTGCAGCGTGCGAGGGTACACCACCGACGAGAGGAGCCTTCGTCTTCGGTCCAGGCAGGTCTGAGTGCAGGCGGTACGCGGCCGGCCGGGCGGCCGCGGTGTTTTACGACGGTTCACTTTCGACTCGATAACTGGCCCCCGAGACCGTCGAATATAGACGAATTGCTGTCGCGGCGAAAGCTCGATATCCTCCCCGTTGATACGTCGACCTCGATCGCCGGTAACTATCGATCCTATAGAGAAAATAACATTTTGAACCGGACCCGACCGACGCTAGGTACGCAGTCTCCGAAATAAAACAGCGGCACGCGCCGATCTCGCCGTCCACCCGGCGAACGGCGTTGCGCCGCGGCGCTCAGCTTCATGAGCGACACGGGAACACCGTCCGTCGCCCGAAAACTCACGGTTTTCCATCATTTTTACCGATTTTATTAGACGCGTGTTAGTGAAAACTTTCGACAGTTCCGACGAGAAAACGTTCCGCGACATCACCGCGCTCGTTACGGTAAAGTTCCGGGGTACCTTAGCGCGCGCGTTTCGACCGAGGGAATCGAATCCTATAAGGTTTGTCAGTGGCGACATCTAAGTCTCTCACTTCACACTCACTTTGCATTCTACGGTCGTACGCGACGCACGCACGCAACTTTCGTTCCATCGTTCCATCCAACAACAAACAAACAAACAAAGAAGAAAATGGCAGATACAGCAGTCGCAACTGAAGCACCGGCGCCCGCCACCCCGGCGAAGAAACAAACCGGCAGACAGGCGGGAGGCGCTAAGAAACCGAAGGCGAAGCCGACCCATCCCAAGACCTCCGAGATGGTAAACAACGCGATCAAGGAGATGAAGGAACGTACCGGTTCCTCCCTGCAGGCTATCAAAAAGTACATCGCCGCGCAGTACAAGGTCGACGCCGAGAAACTGGCTCCGTTCATCAGAAAGTATCTGAAGAGCGCCGTCGAATCCGGTACTCTCATCCAGACCAAGGGCAAGGGCGCTTCGGGATCTTTCAAGCTCGAATCGAAATCGGCCGCGGCGAAGAAGCCCGCCGGTGCAGTTGGTAAGGCGGCCGCCGGCAAGTCTGGCGCGTCCGCGTCCGCCGCATCGAAAGCCGGCGCCGCCGGCAAGAAGGCCACCGCTTCCGCGGCCGGCGCGAAGAGCAAGAAGGCCGCGGCCGCGGCCGCGTCAGCGTCGGCGGCTTCGGGTTCACCCGCGAAGTCCGCTAAATCGTCTGCAGCAAAGGACAAGAAGGCCGCCGCGGCCAAGAAGAAGCCCGCGCCCAAGAAGGCCGCCGCTCCCGCCAAAGCGAAGGGAGCCGCCGCACCGAAAGCGAAGAAGACCGCCAAGCCCCCGACCAAGAAACCTAAAGCGCCCAAACCCAAGAAGGCAGCAGCCGCTACGCCCAAATCGAAGCCGGCAGCCAAGAAAGCAGCCGCCGCCAAGAAGTAATCTGCTGCTTCTTATCCTCAGTCGCCGCTTCGGCGCGGTACCGACGACGGGAAGCGGCACGGCGACGGCGACGTCGACAACATCAACATCGTCGCCGTCGCAGCCGCAGCCGCAGCCGCGACGTGACGTGCGGTGCAAGAATCGCACGCACGCAACGTGCAACGTCCTCGGGAACGAACGAACGCGACGACGCGGGTGCGGGGTGCATCGCGCCCTCATTCGCGGCGCTTAACAAGCGCACACCAAAAAGCCCTTTTCAGGGCTAACAATGTGTTCATGAATATTTGTGAAAATATTCGTTTCTTGTATACAGACAGAGTCAAAAACGAGTCGAACATAAACGTAGATAGTAAAGCAGAGCAGTTTGGTGCGACTGCAAGCGGGCAAGGGGTCTCGGGTTCGATTCCCGGGTCGGGCACAAAGTAATCAGTAGTAGTTTATGTAGAGGTAGTGGTAATGTGCCCGACGCGACGTTCGTATGTGAACGTAAATAGTGAAAAGTGAGTGTAGTGTAGTGTTTGTCTACCCCTTCGGGCGGGGACAAAAGGCGTGATGATAACATCAGGTTATGACAATGACAACTATAAATAATTGATACGTGTAAGTATGTAAGTGTAATTGAAACGAAAGAAAGGTAGTTAGGTTAGGTAGAACAACAAGAAATGAGATGAGATGAGATGAGATGAGTACATAGAACGATGAGAAGTATTGTCATGTAGTGCACTGTAGTGACAGTGGTCAGTGGCAAACAGAACGAACAGATGGTTTGGTTTGTTGTTGTTGGCACTAGGTAGGTAGGTAGGTAGGGAGGGAGGGTGGGTACTAAGTAGACACTAGGGTAGACTAGACTATGCAAGTATGTAACGATGTGCGGGCGCGCTCGCGTGTGTGTAGTAGTAAGTACGTAGGTACTAGTTAATATGTCTTGTCAGGTCACCGACTACGTTTTCTACAGATTAGTTAGTTAGTTAGTTAGTGAGTGAGTGAGTGAGTGAGTGAGTGAGTGAGTGAGTGAAGTAGGTAAGTACCTATTTGGATAAATTAATTTTAGAAATATAATAGGTATGTAGGTAGGTAGACCTAGGAGGTAGTTGGGTGGCAGGTTCCAGAAACGAAATAGGTCCCAGGACCGACACGGGTCCCGTTGCGGCGGCGGCGTGAGCCGCCGCCGCGCTCGGGGTACCCCCCCCCCCCCCTTCCCCGCAACCCCCCCGCGAGCAGAGCAGTGGCAAGAGCAAATGGGAAAAAATATGACTAAAAAATTCGCGATCGCAAAGATTCAGCGGACTAACGCGACCTGGGGGCTTACTCTTGAATCCAATTCCGATCGATCGACATTGGTATTGTGAAATTTCGTACTCTTGAGTTGCAATACTAGAGCCCATTGCATCCGTATTGCGTAGATATTGAATGAACTAAATGGTATTGAGTTTGTCTTTATATTCCGTACTCTGAAGCTATTGTAACAGACTAAGATTGTGGTTGTATAGTGTTGACATTTAATAATTATTGAGATCATATTGGATTGAAATTGCATTGACATTGAGATTGGTTTCAAGAGTAAGCGCCCTGGGTGGACATTAATTTCGTACTCTCGAGTTGTACATTTCGTACACTAGCGCCCATTGCAAACGTATTGCGTGGATATTGAATGAACTAAATGGTATTGAGTTTAGTTTTATATTCTGTAATCTAAATGCTATTTTACGCTACGGTACGATAGGGGTTGTATAGTTTTGACATTTAATAATTATTCTCGCCGTTCGTTCGAGCCGGCGGCGGCGGCCGCCCTCTCTGCTCCTGCTGCTGCTCGTCATCGTCCACCTGAAAATGCGAGATGAATAAGGATCGTTATTATTGTTTGTAATGAATAATGAATGAGCGAGTGGCACAAATATGTACAGAAGTATGTGTCATTAATTAAGTTATCGTGTGTAGTTAGTTGGATGGTTGGTTGGTTGGTTGGTTGGTAGGTAGGTAGGTAGGTAGGTAGGTAAGTAAGTAAGTACCAACGAGTCACGATCACATATATCTAATTTATTATCTATCTATCTATCTATCTACCTACCTACCTACCTACCTACCTACAGATGTATCGGAGATGGTAGTACTATGTATGAACTAGCAAAACAGCAGTAGTATAGTAGGTCTGTTATATGTAGTAAGTAGACGTATGATGGATGGATGGATACGACGTCTGTTAAGCTATTCGTCTCTAGCTAGGCACGAGATGTCGCATGATTATAGCTAGTAGGTAAGTAATTAGAGGAGAGAAAAAAATACGACATTTACCTACATTATGTCGTATTGGGAATTATAATTAAGTACAAGTCATCGTTGTATTTTATCGTTCCGTATTATTAAATAATAAATTATCACGGTATCGTCGCGTACACTGTGTGCTTAAACAGTCGCAGTCGTACCTACGTAAGTAGATACCGCTCGGCAAGTATATCTTCGACGTGGGCTATTGTACGTATGTAGGTATCCGTTGTTTGTATTAATTAATCGAGAGTGCAATGCGGCGATCCGAGAGACGGACGTGTATCGTCGCGTGTGTGCAGCGTGCGAGGGTACACCACCGACGAGAGGAGCCTTCGTCTTCGGTCCAGGCAGGTCTGAGTGCAGGCGGTACGCGGCCGGCCGGGCGGCCGCGGTGTTTTACGACGGTTCACTTTCGACTCGATAACTGGCCCCCGAGACCGTCGAATATAGACGAATTGCTGTCGCGGCGAAAGCTCGATATCCTCCCCGTTGATACGTCGACCTCGATCGCCGGTAACTATCGATCCTATAGAGAAAATAACATTTTGAACCGGACCCGACCGACGCTAGGTACGCAGTCTCCGAAATAAAACAGCGGCACGCGCCGATCTCGCCGTCCACCCGGCGAACGGCGTTGCGCCGCGGCGCTCAGCTTCATGAGCGACACGGGAACACCGTCCGTCGCCCGAAAACTCACGGTTTTCCATCATTTTTACCGATTTTATTAGACGCGTGTTAGTGAAAACTTTCGACAGTTCCGACGAGAAAACGTTCCGCGACATCACCGCGCTCGTTACGGTAAAGTTCCGGGGTACCTTAGCGCGCGCGTTTCGACCGAGGGAATCGAATCCTATAAGGTTTGTCAGTGGCGACATCTAAGTCTCTCACTTCACACTCACTTTGCATTCTACGGTCGTACGCGACGCACGCACGCAACTTTCGTTCCATCGTTCCATCCAACAACAAACAAACAAACAAAGAAGAAAATGGCAGATACAGCAGTCGCAACTGAAGCACCGGCGCCCGCCACCCCGGCGAAGAAACAAACCGGCAGACAGGCGGGAGGCGCTAAGAAACCGAAGGCGAAGCCGACCCATCCAAGACCTCCGAGATGGTAAACAACGCGATCAAGGAGATGAAGGAACGTACCGGTTCCTCCCTGCAGGCTATCAAAAAGTACATCGCCGCGCAGTACAAGGTCGACGCCGAGAAACTGGCTCCGTTCATCAGAAAGTATCTGAAGAGCGCCGTCGAATCCGGTACTCTCATCCAGACCAAGGGCAAGGGCGCTTCGGGATCTTTCAAGCTCGAATCGAAATCGGCCGCGGCGAAGAAGCCCGCCGGTGCAGTTGGTAAGGCGGCCGCCGGCAAGTCTGGCGCGTCCGCGTCCGCCGCATCGAAAGCCGGCGCCGCCGGCAAGAAGGCCACCGCTTCCGCGGCCGGCGCGAAGAGCAAGAAGGCCGCGGCCGCGGCCGCGTCAGCGTCGGCGGCTTCGGGTTCACCCGCGAAGTCCGCTAAATCGTCTGCAGCAAAGGACAAGAAGGCCGCCGCGGCCAAGAAGAAGCCCGCGCCCAAGAAGGCCGCCGCTCCCGCCAAAGCGAAGGGAGCCGCCGCACCGAAAGCGAAGAAGACCGCCAAGCCCCCGACCAAGAAACCTAAGCGCCCAAACCCAAGAAGGCAGCAGCCGCTACGCCCAAATCGAAGCCGGCAGCCAAGAAAGCAGCCGCCGCCAAGAAGTAATCTGCTGCTTCTTATCCTCAGTCGCCGCTTCGGCGCGGTACCGACGACGGGAAGCGGCACGGCGACGGCGACGTCGACAACATCAACATCGTCGCCGTCGCAGCCGCAGCCGCAGCCGCGACGTGACGTGCGGTGCAAGAATCGCACGCACGCAACGTGCAACGTCCTCGGGAACGAACGAACGCGACGACGCGGGTGCGGGGTGCATCGCGCCCTCATTCGCGGCGCTTAACAAGCGCACACCAAAAAGCCCTTTTCAGGGCTAACAATGTGTTCATGAATATTTGTGAAAATATTCGTTTCTTGTATACAGACAGAGTCAAAAACGAGTCGAACATAAACGTAGATAGTAAAGCAGAGCAGTTTGGTTTCAGTTGGCGACTGCAAGCGGGCAAGGGGTCTCGGGTTCGATTCCCGGGTCGGGCACAAAGTAATTAGTAGTAGTTTATGTAGAGGTAGTGGTAATGTGCCCGACGCGACGTTCGTATGTGAACGTAAATAGTGAAAAGTGAGTGTAGTGTTTGTCTACCCCTTCGGGCGGGGACAAAAGGCGTGATGTTATGGTTATGACAATGACAACTATAAATAATTGATACGTGTAAGTTAAGTATGTAAGTGTAATTGAAATGAAAGAAAGGTAGTTAGGTTAGGTAGAACAACAAGAAATGAGATGAGATGAGATGAGATGAGTACATAGAACGATGAGAAGTATTGTCATGTCACTGTAGTGACAGTGGTCAGTGGCAAACAGAACGAACAGATGGTTTGGTTTGTTGTTGTTGGCACTAGGTAGGTAGGTAGGTAGGGAGGGAGGGAGGGTACTAAGTAGACACTAGGGTAGACTAGACTATGCAAGTATGTAACGATGTGCGGGCGCGCTCGCGTGTGTGTAGTAGTAAGTACGTAGGTACTAGTTAATATGTCTTGTCAGGTCACCGACTACGTTTTCTACAGATTAGTTAGTTAGTTAGTTAGTGAGTGAGTGAGTGAGTGAGTGAGTGAGTGAGTGAAGTAGGTAAGTACCTATTTGGATAAATTAATTTTAGAAATATAATAGGTATGTAGGTAGGTAGACCTAGGAGGTAGTTGGGTGGCAGGTTCCAGAAACGAAATAGGTCCCAGGACCGACACGGGTCCCGTTGCGGCGGCGGCGTGAGCCGCCGCCGCGCTCGGGGTACCCCCCCCCCCCCTTCCCCGCAACCCCCCCGCGAGCAGAGCAGTGGCAAGAGCAAATGGGAAAAAATATGACTAAAAAATCGCGATCGCAAAGATTCAGCGGACTAACGCGACCTGGGGGCTTACTCTTGAATCCAATTCCGATCGATCGACATTGGTATTGTGAAATTTCGTACTCTTGAGTTGCAATACTAGAGCCCATTGCATCCGTATTGCGTAGATATTGAATGAACTAAATGGTATTGAGTTTGTCTTTATATTCCGTACTCTGAATGCTATTGTAACAGCTAAGATTGTGGTTGTATAGTGTTGACATTTAATAATTATTGAGATCATATTGGATTGAAATTGCATTGACATTGAGATTGGTTTCAAGAGTAAGCGCCCTGGGTGGACATTAATTTCGTACTCTCGAGTTGTACATTTCGTACACTAGCGCCCATTGCAAACGTATTGCGTGGATATTGAATGAACTAAATGGTATTGAGTTTAGTTTTATATTCTGTAATCTAAATGCTATTTTACGCTACGGTACGATAGGGGTTGTATAGTTTTGACATTTAATAATTATTGAGTTTTCAATGGATTGCAATTGCATTGACATTGACATTGAGATTGGTTTCCCTGTTCTTCGTCATGATTCATGCGTTTATATTATAATTATGTATACAATTAATTATGCACCTGTATTCGACTTCATCGCATAAGTAAGTAGGTATCTACTTTTCTAATTGATTCGTTCTCAGAGCAGTATCGACTCGAGAGAAGAGCGAGAGCGAGAGTATATTTGCTCGAGCGAGACGGCAATACGCAGAGAACGATCACTCGGCTCACTTCGCTAGTGGCGCCGCACCTTGTCGCCCCACCGACGAGCATCGTAACCGGGGGCGACTATAAAAACAGCTAAACAGAGCTCGGTCGCGCACACTCTGCTTACGATATCCACAGCACGCGCGTAAATAGCGTGTGATATTTTCTCATCTGTTCGTGTAAACAATCTAAAACTCTACCAACATGTCTGGTCGCGGTAAAGGTGGCAAAGTTAAGGGAAAGGCAAAGTCCCGTTCGAACCGTGCTGGACTCCAGTTCCCCGTCGGACGTATCCATAGGCTGCTCCGTAACGGCAACTATGCGGAGCGTGTCGGTGCCGGAGCGCCCGTGTACCTGGCCGCCGTGATGGAGTACCTCGCCGCTGAGGTGCTCGAGTTGGCCGGCAACGCCGCCAGGGACAACAAGAAGACCAGGATCATTCCGCGTCATCTCCAACTTGCCATCCGCAACGACGAGGAGTTGAACAAGCTGCTCTCCGGTGTGACAATCGCTCAGGGTGGTGTGCTGCCTAACATCCAGGCCGTGCTCTTGCCCAAGAAGACCGAGAAGAAGGCTTAAATATGGTGCGCTGAACGCAGCCGAAGGCGGCGGCGACGACGACAACAACGTCGCCGGCGCCGCGGTCGCAGCAGAGCATCATATCGTGCGTGTATGCATACAAACAGTACATGCACGTATCGCACCGCATTGCTCACAAACAAAAGGCCCTTTTCAGGGCCACAATATGATTCGTCTTAACGCAATATTGTGTTGATATGACAGTTTCTATTTAACGGATTTAAAGTCAAAAACGTAAAAAAAAGTTACCCCGCCCGCTGCATCCTTGTATGTATCCCCTATCCCCATACTGACCGTCGTACACCTACAGAGGAAATGCAACTCCTATTATATTATGAATTACATTGTGATCATGTGATCAATCAGACAGTGAGTATTAAAAAACACAACAATGACAAAAAGAAACAAAAAAAAAAGGTAATACCTAAAGGATAAAGAGAACCGTTACGATAATGCACCCGATGACTCGATTGCCATTTAACTAGATACGTCATCAGTGGAATTAAAAATAATTCTATAATATAAATTAGACATCTGATTAGGTACATGCATTTGCATCTTTGCATATTTTGGTTGGTACATTTTCACTAACAGTGCTCATTTCGGCAGTTATACGTCAGCCTACAAATTGATACCAAGTGACAAACGTCTCAGGTTTGCTGTAGAAAACCTGGAATATACAGGTATAAAACCATCGTTCGATGTCACAAAAATTATATTAACAGATAAATGAGTAATGTTTGTTATGCCTGGTTGCCTGCAGCTGAAGCCTATCTTTAAAACAATATATCTACTTAGTATAAAAAAAAAATGAATCGCTAAATGTGTGTGTGTGTTTTTAACTCGAGACCGGCTGAATTGATTTCGCTAATTTTTTTTTTTCTATTTCTATTATATTAGAATTCCGCTAGTCCGCCACTTCTAATTAGATTTGTTTTAGTGAAACATAACGAACGAATCGTGTAATTGCATCTTCACACCTCACACTGTAATTCCACAATTTGTGGTGAAGGGGGTGACGAGAATTAAGTGTAATGCGGTTATTTTTATTTTGTTCATGATAAAATTTTACAAGAGTCGCAACGAGTCGATTCGTTGTTGTTGTTGTTGTTGTTATTGTGTATTATAGATTTCACTACGACGAGTGCAGACAAAAGTGCGAGCAAGTAAACAGCTCTAACGCTGCTGCTGACGTCCAACGTCCAGCCTCGTGTGTGTGAACGGCGCGCGCGTACAACAACAACAACAACAACGACTACAACCGACACGCGCTCTACTCATACACGCAGGATGGCGGGATAAAAGACAAAAGGCCCTTTTCAGGGCCACAAATTAATTCATGTGATCATTGTGATTCACGTTTCTATCTAACATTGAGAGTCAAAAGCGTAAATGAAATTATAATAAATAATACATACATACATACATACATTCACACACACACACACACACACACACACACACATACGGTCATCATACATAAATAATACATGCATGCCTGCCTGCCTGCCTGCCTACCTACCTACCTACCTAAAGCTTACTATGTATCTATGTTCATACAGTGTATAGATATGCATCGCACACTATAACATTGTAGAACTAGCTAGTTAATATACAACAACAAGGGAGATCAAACGAGGACACCACATTTTCAACATGATGAAGAGTCTAATTAGTTGGTACCTATCAATTATTAAGAAAATAAAACTGTAAAGTTAACCTCGCAATAGTAGATAGATAGGTACGTAACGTAGTAGTACGCAAGTACCTACGTAAACGTTACAATATCATAATTAATATAAAAGTGGGATAAAAAGTAGCCTATTAACACATTATAAGAGTAACAAACATACATACAAACTTTCACATTTATAATATTAGTAAGATAAGATTACGAACATAACGACGAATAGTACGTGTACATATACATATATAGGTACGTAGGTGAACAATAATATTGTACATAGATAATATGTGATAGATACAGATCTATACGTGTACCACCTATTCACTGAAGAGATGAAACACATACGCAGCCTCCCCCCGGGTCTCTTAGAACCGTCAAGTTCATAATGAGATGATTACCTATATTGTTTATTCGCACTAAGCGGTGTAACTCGTTTTAACTACCTATATTCAGGTAACAGATCTATTAATACATTTTCGTAAGTACTTACCTACGTACTACCTACCTACCTACCTACCTACCTACCTACCTACCTACCTACCAATTAGGTGCAATGCAGCTGTTGCGAGATTACCATTACATGTTACGTCTAAAATCAAATAATCACGAGAAAAAAATAAAAAACAAAACAAATTATTGAATTGGAAATTTTTGCTTTTCGCGTAAGTTTACCGGTTTCACGAACGTGACGACCAGAGGGAGCGACGATCGAGCCTACGGCTCGCAGCCCCGTCCCCCGCCCCGCTCGGCGGGGCGTCGTCAATATAAATAGGACCGAAAACGGCACGGCGACTTTTATTCTCTCTCCAACGTTCGTCCGGCAGTGTCTTTACTCTTAGTCTCTTAACTTTGAAATTTTAACTCGTACCGACCGAAATGGCCCGTACCAAGCAGACCGCTCGTAAATCCACCGGTGGCAAGGCCCCGAGGAAACAGCTCGCCACCAAGGCGGCGCGTAAGAGCGCACCGGCCACCGGCGGCGTCAAGAAGCCCCATCGCTACAGGCCCGGAACTGTCGCCCTTCGTGAGATCCGTCGTTACCAGAAGAGTACCGAGCTGTTGATCCGCAAGCTGCCGTTCCAGCGTCTAGTCCGTGAGATCGCTCAGGACTTCAAGACCGATCTCCGTTTCCAGAGCTCTGCCGTGATGGCACTCCAGGAGGCCAGCGAAGCGTACCTGGTCGGTCTGTTCGAAGACACCAACCTGTGCGCCATCCACGCCAAGCGTGTCACCATCATGCCCAAGGACATCCAGTTGGCGCGTAGGATCCGAGGTGAACGCGCTTAAACAACAACGGTGCGAGGCACGCGCGCACGCACGGTGCGACTAACGCACTGCCTACTTTGCGCGCGTTCTCGTCCGTTCACTGATAACAAAAGGCCCTTTTCAGGGCCACATATGCATCTGATTTTACAAAGGTTTCTCATAAAACGAAAAAGTCGAAAACGTTAAATTTAACACCATCTACCTTCTACCTTTCCACCCGCCTGCCTATCTGCGTGCGTACCTACCTACCTACCTACCTACCTACCTATCAAGGTATCTAAGCAAATGAGATTTATCATCACGTTGCATAAACCTATATGAAATTCACAATATAAGGTACCCGAACTAGGACACCTATAAGTACTTACATGCAAATAAAATAAGTTTAGGTAAATTATGATAATACTTACCTCTATATTCAGGAATATTGATATAGAGTATAATATTCAAATTCTATACTTAGGGTACGTATGTAATATAAGTATAAATAAGAGATTAAAAAGCTTACTATAATTATTTAGGAACTAATACCTAATATACCTATTCCGTGTGTAACACTTACCTAAATGCTTAATACTATATAATCAATGAATGCTATAAACAAGGAAAGTGTGTGTTCGCACTCATCATAACAGAAATCATAATTACTTATATATTGGGTAAGTATGTACTCAGGTACCTATTCCTACATACAACTCAGAGGACAACAAATGTACCTACTTATTAAAACGAAGTAAGTACCTACGTAGGTCCCACATATTCCAATTGGAATCCCTTCCTAATTTAATTATACTACGTACCGTAGGGTAAGATCTCTCTGTAGTGTACAACACGATAAGTGCCTACTTAGTAATTAACTAGGTATCTTCGACTGCCGTAATTGTGGTTTCGAATTGGATAAAGCATTAAATTTAAAGCACACGTCTAGTCGTTAGTTCAGTCTACTAATTCAGTCAGTCAGTCAGTCAGGTGGGTAGGTAGGTAGGTAGGTGAATTACTGATCAGCACAGTACGCTGTGTATGTGTGTTTAACTGACATAATAATATTTATTACATACCTAACTACCTGGTTAGTTAGTTAATTAGTCAGTCAGTCAGTCAGTCAGTCAGTCAGTCAGTCAGTCAGTCAGTCAGCTAGTTTGGATGGATGGACAATAAAGACGGAGAGAGAACGAGCGAGTGAGTTAGTTACCTAACACAATTTTAAGCTCTAATCCTTAAATCTTTACTATCGTCGATTATAGTTGAGTCTGGACAAAATTCTTAATCGTTTACTTAGTTCATTGACTATCAAGCAAGCGCGAAAGAATCGTCATCGACCAACCAGCGCTCTCCGCTGTCGTACCGTCCCCTCCCCGCACACCTCTCGTGGCGAGCTCGGCTCGCATACCCGGCTCGTGTATAAATAGAGGGCCATTTGACGCGACGAGAACCATTCTCGCCTGCGTTGTTCGTTAGCGTGCATCGCTCGTTTCTTCGTTCGTTTTCGAATACATAACACATTTCTATCAATCAACATGACCGGTCGCGGTAAGGGAGGAAAGGGTCTGGGAAAAGGAGGAGCCAAGCGTCACAGGAAAGTACTCCGTGATAACATCCAGGGTATCACGAAGCCCGCCATCCGTCGTCTCGCTCGCAGAGGTGGAGTGAAACGTATCTCCGGTTTGATTTACGAAGAGACCAGAGGCGTGCTGAAAGTGTTCCTCGAGAACGTGATCCGTGACGCCGTCACTTACACCGAGCACGCCAAGAGGAAGACCGTCACCGCCATGGACGTCGTATACGCCCTGAAACGCCAGGGACGTACCCTGTACGGTTTCGGCGGTTAAGCTTCGCTCCACCGGACGCCGGCGGCGAGCGCCACCTCGACTATCGCGGGTGGCATCCACTCGCCGCGTGCTTCGCGTGCGTGCTAGCGCGCGTCGCATACAAAAAAAGGCCCTTTTCAGGGCCGCATATGATTCGAAACCAATATGAACGTTTCTTGATAACAGTATAGTCAACCAAAAACGAACGTACTTACCTACCTACATAACTTCCTATCCTATCCTACCTACCTAACCGAACTAACTACTGACTGACCTAACTGATAGTTATGTCTCCGGTATAATAATATAGAGATCTATGTAAATAATTATGTAGAAGTATAAGAGGAAAAAAAACAATCGCAAACTTAGCCTACTTACTACAAGGTTTTATTTTATTTTACACTTCTTGTACAATATGCAATGGTGGACTTGATGCCTAAGTTTAACATAGTTGCGAGTTCTTTTAACATAAATAATATAATTATATACCTACATACACACGCAACACATACTAACTAACTAACTTATTATAACGAAGAAATATTACGTAGGTATCTTATCTTATACTTACTTTTATACGCAACAGTCGATAAATAAATTTAATATGGGACATACATACATAATTATATAAACCTACGTAGACATAATGAGACTTTCATAACATTCATCGATATTGTCGCTTGCTTGATTTCTCCGTTGCATCTCATCCTCCCTCGCCGTTCGTTCGAGCCGGCGGCGGCGGCCGCCCTCTCTGCTCCTGCTGCTGCTCGTCATCGTCCACCTGAAAATGCGAGATGAATAAGGATCGTTATTATTGTTTGTAATGAATAATGAATGAGCGAGTGGCACAAATATGTACAGAAGTATGTGTCATTAATTAAGTTATCGTGTGTAGTTAGTTGGATGGTTGGTTGGTTGGTTGGTTGGTAGGTAGGTAGGTAGGTAGGTAGGTAAGTAAGTAAGTACCAACGAGTCACGATCACATATATCTAATTTATTATCTATCTATCTATCTACCTACCTACCTACCTACCTACCTACAGATGTATCGGAGATGGTAGTACTATGTATGAACTAGCAAAACAGCAGTAGTATAGTAGGTCTGTTATATGTAGTAAGTAGACGTATGATGGATGGATGGATACGACGTCTGTTAAGCTATTCGTCTCTAGCTAGGCACGAGATGTCGCATGATTATAAGCTAGTAGGTAAGTAATTAGAGGAGAGAAAAAAATACGACATTTACCTACATTATGTCGTATTGGGAATTATAATTAAGTACAAGTCATCGTTGTATTTTATCGTTCCGTATTATTAAATAATAAATTATCACGGTATCGTCGCGTACACTGTGTGCTTAAACAGTCGCAGTCGTACCTACGTAAGTAGATACCGCTCGGCAAGTATATCTTCGACGTGGGCTATTGTACGTATGTAGGTATCCGTTGTTTGTATTAATTAATCGAGAGTGCAATGCGGCGATCCGAGAGACGGACGTGTATCGTCGCGTGTGTGCAGCGTGCGAGGGTACACCACCGACGAGAGGAGCCTTCGTCTTCGGTCCAGGCAGGTCTGAGTGCAGGCGGTACGCGGCCGGCCGGGCGGCCGCGGTGTTTTACGACGGTTCACTTTCGACTCGATAACTGGCCCCCGAGACCGTCGAATATAGACGAATTGCTGTCGCGGCGAAAGCTCGATATCCTCCCCGTTGATACGTCGACCTCGATCGCCGGTAACTATCGATCCTATAGAGAAAATAACATTTTGAACCGGACCCGACCGACGCTAGGTACGCAGTCTCCGAAATAAAACAGCGGCACGCGCCGATCTCGCCGTCCACCCGGCGAACGGCGTTGCGCCGCGGCGCTCAGCTTCATGAGCGACACGGGAACACCGTCCGTCGCCCGAAAACTCACGGTTTTCCATCATTTTTACCGATTTTATTAGACGCGTGTTAGTGAAAACTTTCGACAGTTCCGACGAGAAAACGTTCCGCGACATCACCGCGCTCGTTACGGTAAAGTTCCGGGGTACCTTAGCGCGCGCGTTTCGACCGAGGGAATCGAATCCTATAAGGTTTGTCAGTGGCGACATCTAAGTCTCTCACTTCACACTCACTTTGCATTCTACGGTCGTACGCGACGCACGCACGCAACTTTCGTTCCATCGTTCCATCCAACAACAAACAAACAAACAAAGAAGAAAATGGCAGATACAGCAGTCGCAACTGAAGCACCGGCGCCCGCCACCCCGGCGAAGAAACAAACCGGCAGACAGGCGGGAGGCGCTAAGAAACCGAAGGCGAAGCCGACCCATCCCAAGACCTCCGAGATGGTAAACAACGCGATCAAGGAGATGAAGGAACGTACCGGTTCCTCCCTGCAGGCTATCAAAAAGTACATCGCCGCGCAGTACAAGGTCGACGCCGAGAAACTGGCTCCGTTCATCAGAAAGTATCTGAAGAGCGCCGTCGAATCCGGTACTCTCATCCAGACCAAGGGCAAGGGCGCTTCGGGATCTTTCAAGCTCGAATCGAAATCGGCCGCGGCGAAGAAGCCCGCCGGTGCAGTTGGTAAGGCGGCCGCCGGCAAGTCTGGCGCGTCCGCGTCCGCCGCATCGAAAGCCGGCGCCGCCGGCAAGAAGGCCACCGCTTCCGCGGCCGGCGCGAAGAGCAAGAAGGCCGCGGCCGCGGCCGCGTCAGCGTCGGCGGCTTCGGGTTCACCCGCGAAGTCCGCTAAATCGTCTGCAGCAAAGGACAAGAAGGCCGCCGCGGCCAAGAAGAAGCCCGCGCCCAAGAAGGCCGCCGCTCCCGCCAAAGCGAAGGGAGCCGCCGCACCGAAAGCGAAGAAGACCGCCAAGCCCCCGACCAAGAAACCTAAAGCGCCCAAACCCAAGAAGGCAGCAGCCGCTACGCCCAAATCGAAGCCGGCAGCCAAGAAAGCAGCCGCCGCCAAGAAGTAATCTGCTGCTTCTTATCCTCAGTCGCCGCTTCGGCGCGGTACCGACGACGGGAAGCGGCACGGCGACGGCGACGTCGACAACATCAACATCGTCGCCGTCGCAGCCGCAGCCGCAGCCGCGACGTGACGTGCGGTGCAAGAATCGCACGCACGCAACGTGCAACGTCCTCGGGAACGAACGAACGCGACGACGCGGGTGCGGGGTGCATCGCGCCCTCATTCGCGGCGCTTAACAAGCGCACACCAAAAAGCC